AGCGTGCTTATAACTTGTTTCACTCACATCATCAAATATTATCGTAACATTTTTGTACTTGCTTTAGATTCATTTTCAGAACAAATAACATTTATTGTAGGCCATTTGCTTTGGATTCATTTCGGTACAGGTAAGATTTTTACTTGCCTTAAATTTGTTTTCGGTTTTAAAAAAAACAACCACACCCAAAAACAATGCTTCAGATTCCGTTTTGCTACAAATAATGTTGGTGTAATATGTTTTAAATTCATTTTCGGAACAATTAAATAACCTAACATTGTGTATTTCCGTTAGATTCGTTTTCGGTACAAAGGGCTGTCTTTCTACACGTTTAGGGTACTTATGTCTTTTAGAACCACAGAACTGGTTGTCCTTCATAGAATGAAAAAAAGTTAAAATTTTGGCAAAACTTGAACAAATACTCTTAAATCTTGCGTGTTCCATTTTATTCGTTTCGTCAAATATCCATTTGAAGCTTTTGGGGGTGGGCTAGTTGTCCTTCCTAGAAGGGTAAAAGTTACTTTTTTGGTACAATTTGATAAAATCCTCCAAAATCAAACGTGTTTTTATTTTATTTGCCATCATTTGATACGTTTAATACGTTTGATGAAAACAGCCAATCAGAAGGCAGCTGCACATTGCGAAATTCGATTGATCCGTATGGACTTTCGGGTCAAATTTGATAAAGAAAAGCATATGTCAGTTTGGGGTAATGTCACCAGGAGCAACCATTTTTTGACATGACACCACCTCACAACGAAGTTCTGTTCCATTTGACCAATAAGCAGCCGTTTCTATGATAAAGAGACTTCAACAAAAGTTAGGGATCACATGCAAACACTCTGAGTGGTCTTCTTGGGTCGACCTGCACCTGGGCGTTCTTGGACTGATCCAGTGGCTTGATGGCGCTGTCTCAGGCTGACAATGACAGGATATGACACTGCGAGCCTTCTGGTAACTTCTTGGGCTCCAACTCCATCCTCCAGCTATGCCATAGCTCTGGCAAGATCAAAGTCTCTCAGCTTTCGTCTTGGTGGTATGTTGATGCGATACCGGATTTTACGCAAACGGCGGCTTATATTGCCACCAAAGTGAAACTCTTGGCTTTTGCACAAAGACGACATGCGTTCTATAGCGGAGGATGTAGGGGGAAAAAAAGGGGGGGGGGTTTTATCGAGTGTTTCTGACAGTCACTTGGAATGTGTATCTTGGCTCATTCCGTGTTGGCCTGACAAACAGGATGAAAGTAAGGTATTAAAGGGTTTTTAAAAATAATTAATAAAAAAAAAAAACACAAGTGTTTACGGCGCTCACAACTGCATAATGTCAAATGAGCGCCGGGAACACATTAAACATGTTTAATATGGTAGGAATTAATTTTGAATTTTGCACGGATGGCGGCCGAGCTTACTCTTATCGATTTTAGAACCATCAAGGGATCTTTAAGGTACGCAACTTGTACACCGGACCTCTGGGATTTTTTGCTCTTATTCGAGAGGGCCAGGTGTTAGATCTTACCTACCCAAAGATCAGGGGTGTGGCGGAAAGACATAATTATGTAAGAAGGAGCCTCGAAGTAACAAAGTAGTGCTTCTCGAACACGATCGAAATTGTGTAAATGTGGGCGCCCCAAATTAATGAGTTATACGTACCTTGTTCTTCTCTCTGGTTCTTCGCTAAACCCAAATGACCCACAGAACCCTCATAACCCTGGGTGCAGATGTTTCGCTTCACTTGTCTATGCTCACTCGACCTGCTCTGAATTTTTTGTAGTGGTTGGCAAGAAGCATTGGGGATGGGGGTGTTGAGAGAAAAGGGTGTGTGTGTGTGTGGGGGGGGGGGGGGTTCTTGTGTATTTACGCTTGTGTCTTCTGTTAGAGCTTAATGCACGTGGCTAAATGATGCGCGTGCCGAGCCAGCTACAAGACGATGTTTTCGTAAGCACGAAAGCGTTTCTCTTTCTCTGGGCCTCTGTGCCTCTTTGCTTTTGTTTTTGTCTGTCTGTCTGTCTGTCTGTCTGTCTGTCTGTCTGTCTGTCTGTCTGTCTGTCTGTATATTTGTCCGTCTGTCTGTCTGTCTGTCTGTCTGTCTGTTTGTCTGTCTGTCGGAATGTCTGTCTGTCTGTCTGTCTGCTTGTCTTGTCTTCCCACTGTTTCTCTATCTCCGCCCCCACTGTGGTTAACTCTCTCTCTCTCTCTCTCTCTCTCTCTCTCTCTCTCTCTCTCTCTCTCACACACACACTCTCTTTCTCTCTCCTCTCTCTCTTCCTGCCTCATTCATCTCTCAACAAATCAAGACAGTCCATGTGAGACCGAGAGTTTTCAACATTTCCTTCGTTCCTTGAACAAGCATTCGGGAGTATTCTTTGACCACACTCGAAGATCTGTTTATATTCAGACGCCTGTTATTGGCTGCCTCCAAACAGAAAGGTGTGGTGATGTGTTTTATTATATTTTTAAAACTGTAAACTAATAAAAGCTGCTTACACATGTGCACAAATCTCCTTTGGATATCTGTTGAAATATATCGGAATTTCAAGTGAGATCTGGCTGATAACTGTTTGAATGATAAACAAACTAACTCAGGACTTTTGGAGAACAGTGATACATCTCACGGCAATCCGCTCTCGTGTCTCTGAAGTTCAAAAACTTTGGCAGCCGCGGAACATACGATATTATAATGTTTACGGGCATGCTCTTGCAAACACGGACGCAGGCACCCGAAATACGCTCACACATACGCGTTCACAAACGCACGCCACACGCGCAAATGTCGAGAGAGCCGTTGGGAGAGAGAGGAGGGGAGAGAGAGAGAGAGAGAGAGAGAGAGAGAAAGAGAGAGAGAGAGAAAGAGAAAGAGAGAAGTGAGAGATAAAGAGAGGGGGGGGGGAGAAAGTGAGAAAGCGTGAGAGAAAAAAAGGAGAGGGAGATAGATAGATAGATAGATAGATAGATAGATAGATAGATAGATAGATAGATAGATAGATATATAGATAGATAGATAGATAGAGAGAGAGAGAGAGAGAGAGAGAGAGAGAGAGAGAGAGAGAGAGAGAGAGAGAGAGAGAGAGAGAGAGAGAGGATGGAGAAGACTGATTTACTTGCTGGCAAAGTAGCCAGATATCGTGAGCAGGGCCACTTTCTAAGTGTTCCGTTGAGGAAGTGAGCAGCTTCGATTTTTAAAGATTTGATTTAGCGTAAAAATACGATGATTTTTTTTAAACAAACTTTTCCACTGGCTTGTAGTGACAATGCAAACGTGCACACAGCCACTCAAACACACATACACATATGCATACACAACCACACACACATGCACACACAGGCAGACAAACACAAACACACACACACACACACACACACACACACACACACACACATATACACGCACACGCACGCGCGCACGCACCTACGCACCTAGATGTTTCCTTTCAGTGTAGACACTGAAACAATAGTACTTTATTCTAATGCTTATTCTTATTCAATTTACCTTCAGTGTTTGAATTTGTAACCAGACCTCGCAGCACTTGTATAAACGGTTTTCTCATAATAATAAAAGCGATAGATAGAGTGCACTAAGTGATATTGAGATAAAAGAATACCCACAGTTGACATGTTTTGGTGCGTGAAATCTAATTGATGCTATCCTTGAGCTCTCGTTATACAGCTTGACTGACAACAATGCTTAGCGTAATTATTCAGGTGTTATACCTTTTAGATGTCGTTGCTGTATAATTTGAGAACAGGCAGAAAAGTTAGCTCTGCAACTAAACACTCACGATATCAGGTGTGTTGATTGTTGAGGGAATTCCGAAAGAAGCGAAGCGGTCATGAGAAAGGTGGGACTAGCACTTTTTTTTCTTTTTTTAAAATAGAAGATAAGATGAACACTAATTCGAAGAACAATTTAGAAATTGCTTGCCGCTTGTAAAAACCTTGAAAACCCAACAGATTTGTTCTTGCTAATCATGTATTTTTATTGTGTGTTTGTGTGTTTGTGTGTTTGTGTGTGTGTGCGTGCGTGTGTGTGTGTGTGTGTGTGTGTGTGGGGGGGGGGGGGGTTGCTGAACGGATCAGACCACTTTCCCTCTCCTCGAATGCCACCACTCACTTCCCATATCACGCTCCAGCACCAATATTATTGCATGAATGTTGCCAGAATGCAAAAACAAAAAACAAACAACCAACAAACCTTTTAAGTGTGAAGAGTGGATAAGAAGAGTTGTGTGTTTATAGGGGCGGATGGAGATGAAGGGAAGGGGGGGCCGTGTGAGGAGAGAAATAAAGAAGATATAAGCACAACCACATAAAGGTGAACGCATGAACATTATCTCTTGTTATATTACGTGCCAAGCTGTTTCCTGCTTCCGGCTCTATACTAACAAGAGACTCGTCTTTCTTCCCTGGCATTCCATTCTAAAGAGAGAACTCCC